GGGATGGATTTAGGGCATCATTTGACCATGTTTTAAGAGTTTACGGCCCAGGAACCCATCCTTGGGGGGTTCACGGCCGTAAGCTCCTATGGGAGGGGTTTTCATTAAGTTTAAGGCCGCTAACTCGTTTGTGGTTGTTTCTAGAATTTAATCCAAGGCTATTAGTGTGTTTAAATGGCAATTTAACACCTTAGAAGGAGTTTACTACCCATGAATGGGTGTTTACAGCCCAAGCATGTTCTTGGGAAGTAAACTCATGTTTATTCCTTAAATGATGAGTTCAAGGTGTTCTAAGTCCAGTTTGGTAAGCCCCTAAGTCATATCTAAGCTCCAAATGTGGTTTGGAAGGGTTTTTGGGCTCTAAAACCCATTTGATATGTGTTCACACCCCAAGAGTGTTCCAGGGCCATAAACACATGTTTATGGTCCTAATCCGTGGTTTGAACACGAAAATGAAGGCTAAAGATGTTATACTAGGAGCTAGGATAGTTATCTTGATGATTTGGAGCCTTAATTTGATGATTTTGGACTTAGAGTGTCGATTTGAGGAGAGAGGTTAGAGAGAGTGTGAAAAGGCTTAAACAACTTTAAATATGATTTGGATTTGATACACGGTGGAATTCTACCCGATACCGACGTTAAACGGGGCTTTTGGTCGCACCCGATTAAGTTGTTGTAACCCGGCGGGACCAATTCTAAAAATTTTCAAATTAATAATTTGGGCCGTTTACATGAGTTTCTTGGGAGTTTGGACACTCATGAGATTATAATAAACATATAAATTTAAATAACTTAGCCCAAAAACAAAGTCGGAACGAATTGCTAAAGACGGGTTTTATGGGCGGAACGGGTTACGACGATGGAAAAACTTCGGGTTGTCACACAGAAAACCTGTAACTCTCACCAACATTGTGTTGACCCTAAATTCATGTATTCAAAATAGTCCCAACCCCAAACATTAAACCCATTTATTCAAAAATAGCCCCTCCCATGGAGATTCTTAACAAAATCAATCCAATTCCCAAACTTAAATTCTATTTAAACCATTTCAGTCCCTCCCTTTATTTATTTTAACCAAAGCAGTCTTTTTTAGTTAATTAAATTAACCAATAGCTCCCAATAGTTTAAATTCGTTACCAAACGGTCTAGGAAATATTTCAAAGTTCAAGAAACATGACTTGGTGATTTCTCACGTCAAGCTTCCCAAAAATAAACGAACTACAGACAACTCAAACTCACGCTTTAAGGATGAGTGCTTATGGCCCCTTTCAAAGATTCTTTACAAGTACGGTTTTAAGTATAGATTTACTTATATATATATATATATATATATATATATATATATATATATATATATATATATATATATTGGTTTTCATAGACTTTTTACAAACACAGTTTTAACTATTGTTATATATATATATATATATATATATATATATATATATATATATATATATATATAGTTAGGATTAAATGTGAAACCTAAATATAGTGTGAATGTATAACTAAATATGGACCATTGGATTAGAAAAATCTAATGGCTAAGAATGATTGTGGAATTAATTAGCTTTTAAGAATTAATTTAATTAATTTACTCATAAAATCATTTACAAGGCAACTATGTCATTATGTAGGAATTTAAATTAGGATGGGCGAGTAATCTAGAAATATTTAATGCTTAAATAATAGTCTTGTCGAATACATTTGGTATACATAACGTATATGTTTTTTTCTTTCTGTGAAAAAATATGGTACATGATAAACCATAATCTAGCTTGATGGCTATGGACTCAAGGGTATTCCAGTCCAACAACCGATTGGACCCGTTGCACATTGTCGTTCTATTATGATGACTGATTGGGATATATGTAATCAAGCTCGATGATTGTGCAGCCGAGAGTATTCTAGTTCGATGATTGATTCGATCCACAGTCATCGAACTAGAATACCCTCGGGTCCACAGTCATCAGGTGAATATGGTGCGAATATGTTGGAAGGAGTCCTATAATTTTGTTGTTGTTTTATTGAATGCACCTGTTAAATAATCATAGATGGATGTGGAATGCGATGGTTGTGGTGGATCCTTCTGTCTGTCATCATCGAGACAGAGACAAAAGGTGGGATATGATCAATGAAGAGGGTAAAAAGGGGTTGGATGATGAGTCGATGACGGTGGTAATGTTTATGAGATGTATCACAATGGGATTTAAGGGATCATTCCACATTATTTTAGGGATTTTCCATATATATCCTCATTTACTTTTAGATATTAGTTAATTAATATATATATATATATATATATATATATATATATATATATAGGGTTAGGTTCATTTGAGACCACCTATATTTTGTGAGACCGTGAGATGTATTTTTTTATTTTTTTTATTTTTTTTTAGTTAATTTATGTTCTGAAAATAATATTTTAAAATTTTTTTTAATTTTTCTATTTATTTTGCATTTTAAAATTATTTTTTAGAATATGTCAGTGTAATATTCTATTTAGAATATTTCACGTATTTTTCAAAAAAAAAAAACAGAATTTTTTTTATTTTTTTTTATTTTATTTTATATTTTTTTTAGTTAATTCAAGTTCCGAAAATAATATTTAAAAAAAGAATTTTTGGATTTTTCCATTTATTTTGCATTTTAAAATTATTTTTAGATTTGGTCTCACGGTCTCACAAAATTAGAATGGTCTCAAATGAACCTGAATATATATATATATATATATATATATATATATATATATATATATATATATATATATATATATATATATATATATATGGTAAAGTGAATATACATAATAACCTTATATAAGCTTAGGTACCTAACTCCATAATACTATATCGGTTTGTATTATATTTACATTGTAATTGCCTAAGGTTCTTAAACTTCAACCCCATAACTTTATTACTTTCAAAATCTTTAGACTTTCACAAATATTTTTCTTTTGGGATATATACAATAAAGTCCCAATATTTTCATCGATTTAACAAGAAAGTCCTAAACTTTATTTTTTTGACAGTAAAGTCCAAATTACCGGAAGTTTTTGACATTTTTACCCTTTTTCCCCGGTTAGCCGGTAATTAGGACTTTTTTGTCAAGAAAATAAACTTTAGGACTTTCTTGTCAAATCGTCAATTAGAACTTTACTGTCAAAAAAATAAAGTTTAGGATTTTTTTTTCAAATCATTGAAAATATTGAGACTTTAGTGTATATATAAATTTTTTTGTTAGAAGTTTATTGGTATGATACTCTTTAAACATAAGAGTTATTGAAACCTTCTCTAATCAGCTAGATCCTATTGAAATCTTTTACGTTTGCTTCTTGTTAAATCGTTTTTTTTTTATTTTCAACAAACCGACATTGAAAAAAAATTGAGATAATCAAGAAATAAAGAAAGAACCAGGGTTGTGCTATTTCATTTTTTTCGGTTTTTTTCTCCATTTTTGAGACTGCAAAAAGCCAACACAACCCTGGTTCTTTCTTTCTTTCTTGATTATCTCATTTTTTTAATGTCGGTTTGTTGAGATTAAAAAAACGATTTAACAAGAAGCAAATGTAAAGGAATTCAATAGGATCTAGCTAATTAGAGAAGGTTTCAATAACTCTTATGCTTAAAGAGTATCATATCATTAAATTTCTAACAAAAAAAATTAAATATACACTAAAGTCCTAATATTTTCAACGATTTGACAAAAAAGTCCTAAACTTTATTTTTTTGACAATAATGTCCTAATTGACGATTTAACAAAAAAGTCATAAACTTTATCTTGTTGACAAAAAAGTCCTATTTACCGACAAACCGGGGAAAAGGGGTAAAAGTGTCAAAAACTGCCGGTAATTTGGACTTTACTATCAAAAAAATAAATTTTAGGATTTTCTTGTCAAATCGATGAAAATATTAGGACTTTACTGTATATATCCCTTTTTCTTTTACATCACGTCTTTCTATTGAATACCGCCTGATAGGCTTCATATCCTACTGCTACAAATGAAATGATGTAGGAGAAATATAATGATGAATTTCCAATTTTTTTTTTTTTGAAGTAAATCAAGTTTAGGGATGAAGTTTAAAAACCTTGGATGATTGCAATGAAAATTTAATGCAAAATGACATAGTTTGATGAGGTTAGGTACTTAAGCTTATATAAGGTTGTTAGGTATATTCACTTTACCCATATATATATATATATATATATATATATATATATATATATATATATATATATATATATATATATATATATATATTACTAATATATCCTTGTTGATTTAATTAATAATTTAATTTTTGTTAAATTTTGATTGGTCCTTACGACCACACAATAGTTTTCATATATATATATATATATATATATATATATATATATATATATATATATATATATATATATATATATATATATATATATATATATATACAACTGTTTCCTAACAAGTATTGTATGCTCATATGCACAAATCTGGACCAACAGATGGAATAGAATCAATAGCCATGATCTAAGAGTCTATGTACCATATAATTACACAAATTTCAAGATAAGGATATTTTAAACAATTAACTATATTTAAAAAAAGAAATTTTTGAATTTCAAGGGATAATTCTGATTTTTTTTAAAATAATTCAATTTCAATTCTAATTTAATTTGTAATCGTAACCAATTATAACTTATTTTATTATATCAGAATGTGATTATGTTAGATTAACAGTTTTTTTAAATAATTCAATTTCAATTCTAAAATAGTTCACGCCACCACCATCCACCACACCAATGCCACCAGCAACCACCCTACCCCTACCATTACCATCACAACCACCATCCACTCCACCCTTACCATCACCATCACAACCACCTTTCATCTTCCTCCACCACTAGATGGGAACAATCAAGCAAAGAGGATAGACCCACTATGGATGCAAACTCACCAATTAAAATGTAAAAGAATAGATATTTAATTCTTGTTTCAAATTAAAACCTATAAATTTGGCACTTTCTACCCGTTCCAACCTCACATCTGCATATTGCATACCACCCTGATCTTGTAGTTGTCGGAGCATATTCAACAACTTCGATCTCTCCATTTTCACGTTTCCAGGAATCACAAGCGGAAGATGTCTTGAAGGGATGAGATTTCCTTAAAATGGTTGACATTCCATCAACCAGTGTTCGTCGTTACCCTATTTGGATCTAATAGAAGGGTGGAACTCACAACGATGCTTTTCATGATACTCGGTTTACTGAATTTGCATCTTTCTTTATTGAAATTTAATTGTCGATCTCAACGAAAGAAGATACACTTCCCTCGTATTAAGTTGAGGCCTTTGTATGCGTCCACCGACTTAGCTATCCTCTCACCCAAAATCAACATCTATTAGTTCTGGCCAAATGGTAGGTTTGTTGATTGTTGCATTCTATTTATTGATCAGGTATCTTCCATGAAAGTATGGTCAAACAAGAAACCATTTGACTTAGTTTGTGCACTGCAACTTTCCGATGAATGCACGAGACTTCATTCCAAGTAGCGTAGAAACCCGTTAGTTTGGGGGTTTATCCTCTATTTAACAGGTAAAACTCAACTTTAAGGACTTGAGTAACCAAATATATAAATCCATCAAACATTGTTGTGCTTCAATGCCAAAAACACTATTTTTTTTCACCGATCTGAATGCTCTTAATATTCTGAACGTTTTAAAAAATATTTTTTTAGCAACTAAATGGATTTATACAGACGGTAGTAAGTTGGCCCATCCTTAAATGGGTTAGCCCATTAGAATTTGGCCTTTAAAACTTAAAATCATTTTATGCGAGTCATTTCTAGAAAATCAACCATGAATCAAAACAAATAAAATCTGAAATTAACTTAGCAGATAACCCCTACCAAATATTTCGTAGAACAAAAATTAAAAATAAAGATGTTCAAATATAATCCAACCAAATACACATCACAAACTCCCCATCCAACCCTCATAACAGAATTATCAATCTTCTCTTGTTACCACCATGCAGTAGTCTCAATTGTCAAGGCATTCATCTGCATTTTAAATAATCAAAATAAGGATCTCTATTACAAATTTTAAATTTTAAATAATTAAAAATTTTGAATATGATGAGATACATACAGTGATTATTAGGCAGAAAGTCTAGTTTTGAGTTCGAGTGCCACAGCATCAATGAATTCTTCAGTGTTCAAATAGTGCTCCCTACTCAGCCTGAAAAAAAAAAAGGTTACATTACATGAGTATTTAAAACTTTAAATATACAAAAATAAATTGGCTAAATTATTTAATTTTTATTATGAAAAGCAAGGACATACTTGGATCCATGGATAATGAGAGCAAGATCCTTAGTCATCTTGCCAGATTCAACGCATCCAATACACGCTGCTTCTAACTTTTCGGTGAAATCCAAAAGCTTAGAGTTGTCATCCAACTTTGCCCTGCACAAACCATTTATATCAACTTTTTACAATTACATTGACTGACACTGACAGTGATACTGAGCAAATTTATCATATTGACTATCTAGTAATACTAGAGGTGACAGTTACAATGATAGTGTCAAATTAACTATTTATAAATACCTAACACTGACAGTGACAGTGACATGACAGTAACAGGGACAGAAATTACAGTTTCTTGTGGCGCCTAAAAAGGTGGGCCATAGACTCGCTTTTGATTTCTATTTTTAAAAAGACAAAAATACCCTTCACTATTTATAAATACCTGACACTGACAATAACAGTGAAAGTGACATGCTGGTACAGAAAACAGTTTTTTGTGGCTGAACTCACTTTCAATCTCTAATTTCAAAAAGACGAGAATGCCCTTGACTATTTAAAAATATCTGACAGTAACATGATGGGACAGAAAACAGTTTTTTGTGTCACCTAAAAAGATGAGACAGAGAATCGCCTTCAATCTCTATATTTTATATTTTCAAAAAGATAAGAATACCCTTCACTATTTATAAATACCTAACACTCACACTGACAACAACAGTAACGGTGACATGATGGGATAGAAAATACAGTTTTTTTGTGGCACATAAAAAGGTGGGACAGGGACTTTGCTTTGAGTCTCTAATTTTCAAAAAGACGAAAATACCCTTACCTGTGGGCGAGACCTCGGGTCCAAGCGAAAATTGAGGCAATGCTATTTGTGCTGGTTTCACCACCCTTCTGGTGCACCCTGTAATGACGTGTCACAGTGCCATGGGCTGCTTCAGATTCAATGGTCTTCCCATCAGGACACACCTAAAAAGTAAAAATCACATAGTATTTTGTATTATATCAGATTTTTTTTAATTATATAAACATTAAACAAACATAAAATAATTATTAACTCAATTTATTTGCATTAACATATGAGAAAATTACCAGGACTGAAGTCATTAGTCCAAGCGATCCAAAACCTGTAATTCCAAAGTCAAATCAAGTCACTAAACAGATAAAAAAATAAAGTTACAGTTTTGGTCCCTGGGTATAGTTAATTTTTGCAGTTTTGGTCTGAAAAAAGTTTCCTCTTGCAACATTATTGGTCCTTGTTCAAAGTAAAATTACTATTTTTGGTCCCTTGGTTTAGCTGATTTTTGCAATTTTGGTCCCAAAAATAGTCATTTTACATTGAATAAGGACCAAAACGTTACAAAAACTTCAAATAAGGACCAAAATTGAAGATTTTCAAAAAATAATGCATACCTTGAGCTAACATATCACTTTGGACATCTCCATCATAGTTTTTGCATGCCCAAACATACCCTCCATCACTCTTAAGAGCATAAGCAACCATGTCATCAATAAGACGATGTTCATACCTATTAATAATTTAAAAAATATATATATGATTTAAAAAATTATAAAAAAGAAAAGAAATCAAGAATCTTGAAAACTTGTTGAGCTACTCACCATATCCCTGCAGCCTCAAACTTTGATTTCCAGTTGCTTTCATAAACTGCTTGGAATATGTCCTTGAACCTTTATTAAATTTAAAAAATAAAAAAAATTAAATGCCATATTTAATCACTAAAAAGAAAGATAAGATGATAAATAATCAAATATAAATATACCTTCCATCATATTTCTTTAGAATGGTGTTCTTTGTGCTTAGATAAAGTGGCCACTTTTTAAGGTAGGCAGTGTTCATTGAGGCTTCAGCAAAAGAAGTAATGGACTATTCATGAAATTACATAAAGTCAAACTATTGGTCAAAGTAATTTAAAAATAGTTAATGCAAGAAATAGCAACATACCTCATCAGTGTTGTACATTGACAAAGCTACCCCTCCAGCACCAGTGAAGTTATAAACCTCCAAATCTATAGCTTCACCTTGTCCTTCAGGAACTGGAGGGCAAAATCGGAATTCTTATGAGCAAAAAGAAATACATTATCCATAAAAAGAAAGAAATAACCATTAACCATAAATCATAAAACATACCAAACACCATTTTCAATTTCCCAGGTCCTTTAATCACTGCATCAGTAGCTTTATACTGATCACCAAAAGCATGTCTTCCAATGCATATTGGTTTTGTCCACCCTGGAATCAACCTAGGGATGTTTTTGCAAAGAATTGGTTCCCTAAAAACAGTTCCTAAAAGAATCACAAATTGTAACATCAGAAAAACATATTTATGAAATAAAATCTTGTATATGAGTATTATTTATATCACTAACCATTCAAAATGTTCCTTATGGTTCCATTTGGACTCTTCCACATGCTCTTCAAAGTGAACTCCTGCATACGAGCCTCATCTATAATGAAACAGTTTAATCATTCTCATTAAGTCATTATCCAAAGATTATAATTATATAGAGTTTTTCAAATATAGGTTTAGAAATTAAAATCTGTATATACCTGGAGTAATGGTGGCACACTTGATTGCAACATTGTACTTAAGAGTAGCTTCAGCACTTTCTACAGTGACTTTATCATCTGTGGCATCACGGTTGAGAAGGCCAAGGTCATAGTACTTTATGTCCAAATCTAGGAAGGGAAAGATGAGCTGCAGGATATAAGGACATAAGTCTATTAGATATTGGTGATGATGTTTATTTACATAAAGAATATTTGGGATGAAAACTATTATGTATAAACCTTATTCTTGATTGATTCCCAAAAGACACGGGTCATTTCATCTCCTGCACAAAAAAGATATAAGTTGTGTTACAAGTCCAGTCATGTATAGATTGAAACACTTCCTAAATTTACAGGGCATCAACTAAAAACAATGTAATTTCTACAAATAACAATCATGTCATGAACTCTCAAGACCTATTTTGCATTAAACTTAAATAAGGTGCAGAGAATTGTTCCTGAATCCTGAGTTGAGATTTCAGATCAAAACTAAGAACAGAAATGATTATACTTTTTGGCGTTGTCAAAAAGAGCAACATAACTGACTAAAAGGTAATCAGAGACCCCATATAAAAAGACACATTAGCCCAAAGTCCGTGCTCAGAGATGTATGAGAAAGAAGCATTCTTTATTTTGGCTGTTCAGATGAACATAGTCCATGAGCAAACAAATTTAATTTGGCAAATCGAAGAGATAAAACTCAACAGTAGTATAAAAAACAGTACAAAAATCAAGAGCAGGTTAACGACAACCAAAAACAGAAATGGAGACGTTTTTGTAATTGATTTGGTTTATTGATCTTCTGCATAGACGATCAATCAATCGCGCACAAAGTTTTGCGTTCAAAACAAAGCTCTATCTCCCAACAAACAATATGTAAAACATCATCAATCAATAATCAGATCATACGTCAAAGGTGAAAAGTCCAAACCACGAGCAACTAAACAGAGAAAAAAAAAACATCGATCTACTTCCATTGATTTATTGTTTTTACTAAACGCAACGATCCTTTAAATTTAACTTAAACTAGCTTAAAATCGAATAGATCAGAAAAAATGGAAGAGGAAACAGATCAAGGCGGTGTAAGGATGGTAACTGGGTTGGTAGGTGGATGTATTGACTCACCGTCCATCTCCACGATGGGGTTTGCAACCTTGATCTTCTCAAAAGCCATTTCTTATTGACTGAGATTGAGAGATGATCGGAGATTTGTGTGTGCGTAAGGCGGCGATATAAAAACCCCGGCCGGCAACCGAAGTCAGAGAGAAAGAAGGAATTGTGAAATAGAGATGGGCATAGGAAGCGGAGAATCGCGCGTCTATATAAACGGTGCTGGTGGACTAATCTCAAGTCTCAACTACAAACGCATTAACTCCGGTTCACAACAAAAGGGTTTTCGACTTTTCGTGCATGCTTTTAATGGTCTAATAAAAACCTCTCTTATGGGCTAATTTATATACTATTTATCGGCTCTCTTTAAAAGGTTGATATGACACGTTCGATTAGTAGTTTTTGATATCATTAGAATTTTCTGATTCGATCATAAACATAAATCAATTTTTGATTTATTTAGATCTGATTCGGTTGTAGACTATTAAACAACATCCGATACGTGAGTTGGACGTGTATTTCAATATATTAAAATGGTAAGCCAATCGGTTTTGATTTTTCATTATGGTTCTTCAATTTGTTACTCGAAAACGTGTAACGTGGGTTTGGAGAGTGAGATCTTAGTTGGGTATTTCAATAGAGAAATTAAATATTATCCTTTTTTTTCTAATTATTCATTTGAAATTAATAAAATGATGATAAATATATTAAAATATTATTAGTTTTATTAAAATATAATATTTGTCAGTATTTTATATAGATAATAAAATAAATAGAAAGAAAATATATGAGGGGATTTAATTTCTTATTTCAATATATACTAAAATGTCAACTAAAATAGACATTCTAACAGTATAAAATATCATACAAAGAAATATATAAGTTTAAGAAAAGGTTGATGTAATTACAAAGCAAATTTAATTTCTAATAATTACTTCAATCGAGCATCTACATCCTACAATAATACAAATACAATGATACAAAACAAAGAAACCAACATATTGACTATAAGAAAATTAATTATTATTGAATAACACAATTTGTCTCAATATTTAAAATTCATACATAGTAAGAGATTTGTCTTTTATGTTGTTTGATCCACCAAGCTACCAGATATTACATTAATAAAATTACATACATGAAAAAAAAACGAAAAATATATCTATTAAAAACAAATGCTTAAAATTGGCGAGTCAAATTACATTATAATTCCTATAATCAACACATTCAATCACACGTCCACACGATTTAGTAGTTTATTATACAAACCATGCAAGTGATTCTTAATAGTAATTATATTTTTTTAATAATTAGAATAAATAATGGTGATCACATGATCTAATGATACTATTATTATGAATTATATGATTCAAAAACCATTTAAGAATTATGCTCAACAAGAGTTAACATGTTAAAATTATAGTAATTACCAAGCTAGATCCCATTAGACCGACTACGATCTACCAAGAAACATCTCATATAATATTTAGAATTCATACCTTAATTCATAGGGATCTTTTGATGTAGTAGACATGAAAAAAGCGAATCACTGTTATCGGTATCTAGATAAGCAGTATGATCTGTTGTTAAATACCAACAATTAAAGAAAAACTTCTCACGTTCTTCCTTGTTCTTCGTCGTAGACCAGAAGAGCAGAGGAAGGCAATGTGTTGCAAAGTAGGGAGAGAAATATAATGATAAGTTGGGTTATATTGTGTGCAATTGTCATAATCTCTAACATGTATTTCTTATAACGGGCTTTAGGAAAGGAAATATATTCGTACACTATATTTTTCTCCATACATAACAATTGTTGTTTTAAATTGTTGTATTATACAACTCTATAAACATAAATTATTATGTTTGAAGAAAAATTATTGTATACGAATCACTTTCTTTTAAGAAAGTTTTTCATGTCATGTAATTCACACCTATTCAATTAAAAATTATTAATTAATTAACTTTTTCATGTCATGTAATTCACACCTATTCAATTAAAAATTATTAATTAATTAACTAATTGGCTGATGAATAAACTATTTTATTTAACTAATAAATAAACTCTTTTATTTATTTTTCTTCAATTAATAAATAATAATTTATTTATTTATTTGTTATAGTCAGTAATAATAAATTTATCATTTATAAATATATTATTTGTTTTTATATCTTTTTTAATGTTCTTTATTTTGACTTTTTACGTCATATGTTCACATATTATTAGCTATTATCAGTACAATATACTAATCAAACATTGTGTTCTTTATACATTTATATTGGTTAAATTGAATTCATCGGGTTAAAGTTATTTTTCTACAAAAGTAAATGTTAAGATGCAGTCATCTTTATACCTTGATCCATATTGCAATATGAGCACCCTAATTAATTTTTAAAATATTTTTATTGGATGAAATTGTATTGTTTTTCGGAAAAACTGATTATAAGCCGTTAATTATCGGTTGATTTTTTAAAAAGTGGTCAATGGGTGTCCAATTTGTATCTTATTAGCAACACCCCCATGAAAAACATTATATTTTCATCACATTTTGAACTCAATAATTGAGGGTTAGTTAGCTATAAATATTCATATTTTTATGTTTTTGTAAATATTCATATTTTTATGATTTTGTAAATATTCGAGAACCAGATTTAACATGAATACATGTAACTGGGATTATATAAATAAAATAATATATTATACTCCCCCATAGCGATGGAAGTTGGGCCTGGAACCCTCTGGTTCCAGGAAAGATAAATATCCTAGCATGGAGAATTGGTAGAGGAAAACTTCCATCCATGGAAAATCTTTTCAATCTTGGTATCAGTTCTACAAACTTGTGTAGAATGTGTAGCGCTGCCCTAGAATTTGTGGATCATATCTTTGTGGGTTGTCCGGTTTCAAGTGAGGTTTGGCTACATGTGTGTAAATGGTGGCGACTTTTGGATTCCTCCTACAGCTCTTGCAGAGACTTACTAGACTGCAAATCAAAGATCGGTGGGCACCAAAGGCTACTGGCGATTCACGAATCCATAATGCTAGTATTCATGTGGGTAATCTGGGGGTACAGGAATGATATGGCTCATGGATCAAAATCAAAATCTCAAACGATGTTGGTAGCTGAGATACAAGCTCTGTCCCACCTATGGATACATGCACGGAAGAGGAAAGGAAAAAATCTAAATTGGTTAAATTGGTGTTTTGACCCAGTATTAGAATGCTACCGCAAGTTCTAGGTTTCTTGTATTCCTGCTTCCTGTTTTGTCTTTGTTTTATTTCCTTTTTGTTTGTCAAAACTTTTGTATCTCTAGCCTCTAGCTAGTTTTTCTTTTTTAATATCATGTCTGCCGTTCATATATATATATATATATATATATATATATATATATATATATATATATATATATATATATAATATATATATATATATATATATATATATATATATATATGGGTAAAGTGAATATACCTAACAACCTTATATAAGCTTAGGTACCTAACCACATTATACTACATCGTTTTGCATTATATTTCCATTGCAATCGTCTAAGGTTCTTAAACTTCAACCCTTAACTTGATTTACTTTCAAGATTTTCAAAGATTCACCATTATATTCCTCCTACACCATTTGATTTGTAACGGCAGTATATGAAGCCCACCAGGGGGTCTCCGATAAAAAGACGTCATTTAAAGGAACATAATGGTAAAAGTCCAAAGATTTTGGAAGAAATCAAGTTAGGAGGTTGAATTTTAAGAACTTTGGGTGATTACAATGCATATATGATACAAAATTACGTAGCATGATGTGGTTAGGTACCTAAACTTATATAAGGTTGTTAAGTATATTCACTTTACCTATATATATATATATATATATATATATATATATATATATATATATATATATATATATATATATATATATATATATATATATATATATATATATATATATTCTAAATCAAATTGGATTGAATTTCATGATTAGTGATTACACAAACAGAATTTCACTTGATTACATCTTTCCTCAATCCCATAAATCATAATCACCTTGCATACACCAACTCTAAAAATTGACCATCACCAAACAAAAGTTGACTTCGCCTCTTGGAGAAGGATTTGGTCGCTGGCTTCTGGATGCCCAAAGCGATCATCTACACGTCACTCTCTCCATAAAATTGACCATCACATTATCCTCTCCCCGTTTTTTTTTTTTTTTTTTTTTTCCTTTTTCAATTTTCATAGAAAAAATAAGTTTAATAAAGTTTTTCGAAAACGACACCATGTCACTATCAAATAACGTTCGATTATAAGTTCTTTGGACATTGGTAGATGATTTAACTAATAGGTAGTTTAATTAGATGGATGTTCAAATGCCATAAAATTTATAAATATTATATACAAAAACGACATTACAAGTTATTATTGTTAATAAACAAAAAGATTTTTTGGAACAATTGGAATGCAGTTATTGGCGATATACCGGAAGACGGAACTCACGGAAGTGAGACAACGAAGCCGCAAAAGAAAAAACAAACAAAATGGATAAATTCCATCAACTTTTCAAGGTCTTTTTGTATCTTTATATCTTAATAGAAAAAATGAAAATTAATAAATCATATACTTGTATCTTTTTACAATCATATGGATCATATTTTTATCCCAATACTAAAATTAACTAAAATTCATATTTCAAGAACCCATAGGAAATTCAATTTTGTTTTTTAACATATGGATAAAATTAAAATCAAATATGTTCTAACCATTCAAATTACACTTCAATTGGATCGGTTCAAATTCACTTTTCAAGGACCGAACCATATATATATATATATATATATATATATATATATATATATATATATATATATATATATATATATATATATATATATATATATATATATATATATATAGTGTTAGGTTCATTTGAGACGGCTTAATTTTGTCAGACCGTGAGACATATTTTTTTTTAGTTAATTCAAGTTCCAAAAATAATATTAAAAAAAAAATTGGATTTTACCATTTATTTTGCATTTTAAAATTATTTTTTAGAATATGTACAGTGTAATATTCTATTAGAATATTTCACGTATTTTTCAAAAAAAAAAAAACGGGATTTTTTTTAGTTAATTGAAGTTCCGAAAATAATATTTAAAAAAAAGAATTTTTGGATTTTTCTATTTATTTTGCATTTTAAATTATTTTTAGATTTGATCTCACGGTCTCACAAAATTAGAATGGTTTCAAATGAACCTGAACTTATATATATATATATATATATATATATATATATATATATATATATATATATATATATATATATATATATATATATATATATATATAGGGCTAAGTTATAATATGAATGGTAAGTATTGTGTGGATGTACGGATGAATGTGGACCAAGAGTTTAAAATACACATTCTAATAGAATACATATTTTGATTGAATACAAATTCTGACAAATTTTTCAAACATGAGTTAAAAAAATAACAACATTCTTAAAGAATAATCATCTATTATTAATATTATTGAAGAATCTAAGATCCAAAAATATATATATAAAAATAGTTTTTATTGTTACATTCTAT